TTCTAGACTGGCATGCGAGTGGGTCAAGACAGGAGTCACATTAACTTGGTCGTTCACGTACATGCAAATTCCCCCTCCTTTCCTGCAGGGGCTGCAGGAGGACAAGCACGAGCAGCCCTCAGCACACGGCCGATCACGACGGAAAAGAATTGCTCCCGGCACCGAGACCTCGTTGTCCGAGATGCTGGAGTCAAGCCACGTTTCAGTAACTGCCAGAAGATCCAGGGCATGTTGGTCTATTAACTTAGCAATAATGTGTGTTTTGTGTCTAAGGCTGCAAATATTTATGTGGCCAACCTTTATGTGGGTATATGAACAGCTTACGGGGGCCGACGGTTGAAGAGGAGACGATGGTGTAAAGGCTGGAGCATGCGGGTTCAAGGGGAGTGGGTCAGTGGTTTGAGCCATTATGCTTTAACGGGTTTGAGAGCCCAGGCCTCTGTACCAAATCGCCACTCTCTTACAGTACGGCCAACTTCATCAGGCCAGAACGATTCTTCCGCTACCTTCTTGGCGTCCGTGACCAAGACTGTAATACGAGCAGAGGCTGTTCTAAAGTGGACGGAGGTGTACACGACGCTTTGTACTACAGATACGCCTTGTGCCTTGCAGTGTTCAGCTATTGAATCCGCATCGCAGTCCGGGTCAACATTTCCAATGTAGTACACCGTCACGCGGGGTCGTCCTACGAGTCCAGGTGCACTCTTGGGTGTTTTCGGTGCTGTGTACCGCGATGTCTCCTCTCTACGGTGATTTGGCTTTTGCGTACGTTTGTCGTGGCCAGGTGCATGCGGCCTTGGTGGCTGCCTTGCGGAGTCTGCGTACGATTTTTCTGAAATGTGCTGTGCAGCTGGGCCTCGTGTTTGTACAGGTGCACGTGGTGATGTGAGTGACAGGTCTGGGGTAGCGTCGGTACTCGTACTAAAGTGCATGGGGAGGGTACTACTAGTACTAGTTCTGAGATGAGTTGTATCCCCGGCCCCAGGGTCAGCGTGGACGTGGGTCAAACGGAATTGGTGATCTTGTTCAGCATGCAGTTCACGGCGGAGCTTTTGCACGTCGTCCTTCAACGCCTGAATTTCCCTGTCGGAATCTCTCAGCTGTACATTCACGTCTTTCATCGTCTTTAGCTCTGATTTCAGTTCCCTTACTACCCCAGTAAGTTCGGAGAGTGCGGCGCAAAGGCTAGCTACATCAGGGTTAGCATGACTTACGGGAGCCGAGTCCTTGGATCCTCTCAGTAGGGCAATCAGCATTGGCCTGTTCGCCTTTCTTGGGAACTCCAGTCCCAGTCGCTGGATGAGCTCCTTGAGCTCGTCGTCAGTAAGCACGGCGATGTCCGTATTGGGGTCGAGTTTCCCGGCCATTATATCACTAATTTTACTGGTGTTCCAAGGGCCTAGTGCCCCGGGAAACCGAAAAAAAGGAGTAAAGTTCAGGAGCTCGCAAATTTGCATCCACCCCTGACAGTAAAGATATCCTTCAAACGCAAGATCATAACGTGAAGCAACTTGGAAGAATGGGTATGAATGCGAAGTGTATGGGGGAATGCATGTAGGGCGATAGTGCGGGTTCGAATCCCAGGATATGCCTGAAAAAAAAATAGGAGAATTGAAAAATTTATAACATCCCTATGATTTTTTGCCGGCAGATACGGGATAGCGCCAGGCGTGACACAAACAAACACACAAACAAACAAATACCAAATTAAAGCTGTGTGGACCCTGGCTAGCGCCAGACGTTACTGAAGTAACGTCTTCTGCATAGCTACGGGAATAAAGTTGAGTCTTCCAACTTGTTCCCCGAAACACCGTGTATTGAGCAGGGAGTGGTGCTTTCTTGCAGGTTTGCCGAGTGGAAGGTGCGATGTGCTCCTCGTGTGCTCCGGATGGCAGTCGTGAATCAGTCAAGTGTCAGGTTCGGCAAGAAGCGTGTGTTCCTAGTTGGAACAATCAACTTCACGACTATTACAACCGAAGTCGCAACTTCTAAGTTAATAGCAAGAGTACATAACCCCCCAGAGTGTGCAACGCCGATCCAGCTCTGCATAGGGTCTTGGTCGAGCAGAATCGGATCTTCTGATGTCATGCGTACACTCCACACCAGCGCAAGGCCGGTCTCGAGGCAGGGCACCATTGTTTTTGATCCAAGAGTACCCGCGACTCCCCGGGTTCCCCTCAGATGTGTACTGTATTATGACGCAAAGATCCGATTACGCTCGATCAAGACCCTATGCAGAGCTGGATCAGGCGTGGCACACTCTAGGGGGTTATGCACTCTTGTTAATAGTTAATAAGTCGGAATATAAGCACAATAAAAAAGGCTGTTTCCACTTACTCTATAGGGATTAGGGGTGTTATACAGTAAAACCTGTAACTAAAGACCACCGTGACTAGCAACTAGCCTGGTACTACCGACCATTCCACCAGGCACGGACGGTCTCACATTCAAAATGCACTGTGACTAGCGACTACCTGCTGAACGCGACCAGCAACCGCCTTTTCTTGTCCAAAGACGACTTTGACCCGTAACTAGCGACCGCGGTGTAGGAAATCAAATGTTGTTCGAAGCTCCTTCTTGAAATTTTGCTGATTTTCCATGGTCCTGAAAGGAATCTTTCGATACTACAGCTGAACAAATGAACGCAGATCATTTTGACTGTGGAGTTCGAGTCGGTGTGGACTGCACTACGCTTGTCACAATAATTTCAAGCCCTGTCAAGAATAAGCGTGATAGGAAATGTCTTGGAGAGCGCATCGGAAGCGCTCTCTGATCGATGTTACTACATGTACTCGGAGGAGAAACGAAGACTGAGCGGCTCTGCCACCCCAGTCATACAGACGAATCGACGATTGCATCAAGGAATCCAAAAACAAAGCAGCATCGCAAGGTCCTGATGCTGACGGATCGCGTTCAAGCAATCGAGAAGTTCGCACAACAAGAACAGTGGGTACTATTGATCGAATGAACAAATTTGAAGCCCAGCGCAAAACGAAACTTCCATAGGGAACGTTTGACTTCTGGCTTCACAAGTAGCAGCTGAATTTGATGTCTGCAAAAAATTAATCTTTTCTCCCTCTCTCTGTCTCTCTCCATCTCTCCGTCTTTCTCTCCAAGTGTTGTTTGACCTAAAATAAGAATGGTATTGTGCAAGTCCTGGGGAATTGTATTGGCTGTGTTTTGACATACATATCATATAATGGGATCCATATAGGGTCACGCAGTGCAAACCTCTAACTAAAGCCCACCTGCTACTAAAGACCGCTTTTGCTGGCAGCAAGGGCAAGGGGTGGTCGCTAGTCACAGGTCTTACTCTACATGTACTTGTTTCAAAATTTCCTATTTTATTTTAAACACAACCTGGGATTTAAACCCGCACTATCGCCCTGCATGCCTTCCCCGATACACTTTGCGTCCACACATATTCTTCCAAGTTGCTTTACGTTATGATCTTGCATTTGAATTGTTTTTACCAGTTCCAAACCTCTTGTAGTACGGGCAACATAAACACAAGTGCTGGGTCAACAGCTTAGTGCCGATAGAAAATGAGCTGAAATGGCTGTGAAAACAGTCTTATACGGAGGAAGCTACAATGGCTGTGAAAACAGTTTAATAAGGAGGGAGCTAAAATGGCTGTGAAGACAGTCTAATGCCTAGCAAGGCGAGCCTCAGCTGCCTGGACGAGGTCGACAGGCACAAGGTTGACTTGATGGCGGCGAACGGAGCGTGATCCTCGAACGCACCGGATCGCAGACGTAGCAAGAGAGAAAGCCAAGCAGCAACGCATCCAGCAAACGACTTTGCTGTAGCTCTCCTTACGCTTAGAAGCCATAGCATCAGCAATCCGCTTGACGACGAGGTTTGCCTCTGGACTCATTCCGCCACAAGAGGAGAAGACCAGCGGTGTGAACGAGCCATGTTCAACTTGGTCGACTCTTTCGCCATACATTTGAATACCCTATTTGAATATTCTGGCCAGCTGCCTTTGATGGTACGGTATGGTGCGGTACGGGGACAGGTACGGGATAGCGCCAGGCATGCCGATGGCACAAACAAACACAGAATTGAAGCTGTGTGGACCCTGGCTAGTGCCAGACGTTACTGACGTCTTACTCTTACTTAGATATATCAACAAAAATTATTATTTTTTATTCACAGATGTCTGAGGGCTGAAAGGATCAGTAGTCTTTTCAGCACTTTCTTTGATTTGGTCAACTGTCGTGCCACGCGTGGTCAGGCTTCACGTCTGCTTTGTGTCCCGTTTTCGCCGGGTCCTTCCGGTCAATCCACCGATCAGTTCATTGGTAGTGTGCACTGGAACTGCCTGCCGCCTAATGTCCACTCCATCACAATTCCTTCTGCATTTAAGAAAGCAATTACAAACGATATCTTAAACTCTCTTACCCTCTCCTAAGATCTCAAAGACGCATAACTGTCAGCATTCCCTCAACCCTGGAACCTTTGGATCCGTTGCACTATTTTCATGAAGAATACATCAAATTCCAATTGGTTACTGGTAGTACTCCCTTATTGATTTGTTTCTGTCTTCTCTATGTGCCTTGTTCTTGATTGTATTTTCCTCTTCCTCCTTTTCTTATATCACAACATTCATCATGTTGCGAGAACTGTGGCAATACGCCCAGTGAGAAGGCAGATTTTGCATGTGCTTCTGGTGAAGTAAAAAAAACCGTTCGCATGAGACTCGGTCTCTCTATATAGAGGCCGAGTTTTCCGCATCCGTAGGAAGGCCACCACCCTTCAAAGATCAAAGCGCAGATGCAGCTCCTAAAGCAAATAATATATACAAATAAAGCTAAGCAAACAAACAAACAACAAACTAACGTAACGTAGTTTGCATAGCTACGGGAATTGAAGATGTGAGGACCCTGGCTAGCTCCAGACGTTAATGAAGTAACTGAAGGAACGTATTTTGCATAGCTATGGGAATAAGAATAATTAATATGCAGGAATGTAAGCACAATAAGGCTGTTTCTACTTACTCTCACAAGTAGGAGTCGCACTTAGAACTCCATTCGCCTCGCAAATCGGGATTGCAGATTTTACAAGACCATCATTGCAGGAGTAGTTAAATACTTCACCGTATTTTGTAAATGTTTTCGTACTGGCTCCATTAACAATGCTGGGCACTTTACACATGATAGCTGCAAATTTACATACAGTTACAGGAATTGCAGGAAAGAAAACTTAAGAGCCAATGTCTGTAACGACCAAATATCACCGGATATGGTCAAAATTTCCGATTTCGCTGAAAATGATTACTCCTTTTAACCCAAAGCGGACCTCATTCACCCACTATGATAATTTGGTCCAGAAACCCCATGTTCTTTAGATATTGACCAGTAATTCAGCCTGTCCTATGGCACCCATTGCGAAGGCCATCTTCAAGGGCCAGTAGCATCGAGGTTACATCTTGAAATTGGGAGTAGAGAACCACCATTGTGTGCGACAACATTTCCCCATGCACCAACAAGTGGTCTTGAATTAATTCTTACACGAAAAATCATTTGGGGAAATATTCAAATGTTGTATTCTCTACCGGACATGCACTATATGAATCCAACCTTGTGGCAAGAAAGCACACACTAAATGTATTGGCACAGATTCCATTTATAATGGTTGGCACATTGCACATGATCATTTACAAACAGTTACAGGAAAGGTAAGAAGGCAACAATGCAAATATATAAACGACGACATCAAGACAGGAACACATGCGTTTGGGGCGCATTCCACTGACAGATGAAGGAGACTGTGTATCACGAGCTCGGCTGTGGGATGCTGTTGTAAGGGCAAAGCAGGCTCGTCATTTGGTTCCTAGTGGTCTGCATCTCTCTTAGCCAATTCTCGATCTAAACTATCTGCAGGCATTGTGAAGAAGAGGTGTTGCGTCTTTGGCAATATTCGTGAATTGGGAAATACTCTCTGCTTTGTTGAGGTTTTGGCGATACTTGGGAATACATGCTTTGACTTTTTGTTAAAGCACTTTACGGGCAGTTCAACCTGACTAGTTTCCTCGTGGCAAGGCCCATTTATCTTATGATATCTTTACAACTTACGAGTACATGATCCAACCTTAGTTCTTCCATTACACACTGGTTGACCATCAAGGTACTCATATCCAAGATCACACGTAACCATACCAACAAGTGATATACTAGCAATATGATCTCCATCACTGCGTCCACAAGCTGAAAGAAGAAGAAAACATATTGAAAACAGATGAAAACACATGTCATTCCCAAGTTTGTAAGAAGGCCTTTGAATAAACATGTACAGGAACTAGAAGATTGCTTCCATGGTCTGCGAATATTCCTTTCATAATAATGACATTGGTTCTTCATGCCTTTTTACATCCACTGAAATCATCAATATCATCACAGCTTTTACCTTGGCATAAGCGTCTGCCTAGCCTTTACTTTTTTTCTTTTTTTTTACACCCAATTTTAGACATGATAACAAAAGAGAAGGGGATAAAAGAGAGAAAAATATGGAAACATAGCCAGCAATCGCATGTCATTTAACATAACTATGCAAATCGACCTTTTTTCAGCATCACTTTTCAACGAGGACGCAGCAAAGTCGGCCGAACGAAGTTCAGAGGAAGAAGATCACCCTCTCCACTTCACCATCACGATACTGACATAGATACAAGACGAAAGAACTAAAAAATCCACAAGAAAACTGTACTGTCATGTTCGCCCTGACTTTGGTCACGATCAAAAATGTACGAGGAGCACTCAAAATAAGCTACAGACGTACCTTTATCACTCTCTACTCCCTTTTCAAGGCACAAAAGTCGACTCTCCACTTTCAAACCAGGAACCAGACATACCCGTGGGCATTTTCAGCTGCTCCACGAGCGCAGGAAATGTTCACCAAGGGGCGCAGATCAGCCTCCATTCCAGAAAAAGAGCAAAAATACGAGTGAGACTGCATGCCTCAGTACATGAGTACATGCATGAGTACATGCAGAAAATAGTCAATTTCAGCGTTTCTGCTCCAAACAGCAACTTCCTTCGACTAGCTACAAAGTTTTCACCAAAGGATCAAACAACAACCATTTTCTTCATTTGTTGGCAGATGGCTTCCTTGTGCTTGGCCCAGCACGCCAAAAATCACACCTCGGAGGAGTACACAAATTAAACTCTCAGATGTCCTCAATTGCTGGCCATGAGGGAAAAGAAATAGGCAAACATATAGGCGGGAACAGGGAACGGGTAGGAGACGACAACATTTATTATAGTGACAGAGACACGGAAAGATAGACGAACGTCTACATTATGAAAGAGAGAGGAGTGACAAACAAGTCCACTCCATGTTTGATGTGGATATAAACGGTAAAACTAACTGAAAGACCAGAATAAGCAGTGGAGCTAAGCGCAGTCAACGGAAGTTCCCTGATTTCATAGCTAAAACCCTGAAGTTTGCTTTCTTCACTTCTGTACATCATGCACTTGACTGTTTCCTTCGTGGCAAGGCCTATGTATCTTACGATATCTTTACAACTTACGAGTACATGATCCAACCTTAGTTGTTCCATTACACACTGGTTGACCATCAAGGTACTCATATCCAATATCACACGTAACCATACCAGCAGGTGATATACTAGCAATATGATCTCCATGACTACGTACGCAAGCTGAAAGAAGAAGAAAAACAATTTGAAACAGATCAAAAGAAGTGTCATTTGCAATCTTGAGAGAACGCCTTTGGTTAAACATGTATACAGCATAGAAGATTGCATTACAAAGTCTATGATTATTCACGCTCTAATGATCAAATTTTTAATTTTAAGAGTAACTCTCCATCACTGTAACCAGATACTATAATTATCCTGTCAGAAAGTGCAACAAATAGGCACAAAACTGACATACTACTGAGACATTCGACGTCCTGACACCTAGCTTCAACACAACAGTCATCTCTCTAGTGCTACCCAACAGCCTTCCAACTCGGAAGGTTCAATGTTATGGAGAGACCAAAGAGGGGAAGGTAAGTGAAACGAAAACGAGCACAAGCTGTAGTCCCATGGAACAAAGAATGTCGATTGTTACTGGACGATGACGAGACCAGTAAGATACTTGACAAAGCGGTCTAACTACAATTCAAAGCAGCACACCACCCAACTTGTGATGGAGAGTTACTCTTAACTCGTATCCATATGTCCTTTTGCTTTCTACATTGATTATTGGCTCAACGTCCAAGTTACAAAATATTAAGAGAATTTGACTATTTATCGCTTGTTTTTCTTCAGCAGGTCTGGTCACCTTCTGTTCTCCCCTTCTCCTAACCAACACGTGTTCTCATTTTCTGAAAACCTTGAACATGTTGGACGATGTAGTGTATGACTAGAGGAAAGGATTAGATTATGATTCCTAGTGCAGTAGTCATCTGCATGTCCACTCTCATCGCGTTTGGAATGAGAAGTGAAACAAGCCCATAATGTTTAAAAATAATTAATATATTTTATTTCATGACATTGGTGTTAGCTGGACATTTCCCACAGTCGAACGGCCACGCAGCAGAGTCCGCCGTTCGCGCTGCGAAGCACGTGGTCTCGAAGTACATGCACCAAGGCAATCTTCAGGATGAGGCCTTCAATACCGCCTTGCTGGAGTGGCGCAACACCCTAATGCAGCGGGCGTGTCGCCCGCCCAGATTCTATTCGGACACCCGCTGCGTATACTCATCCCGGCTCATTGACGTGTTATGTTAACTTTATTTTTACTTCACCATAGGTACAGGCATTGCTGCCTTCTGGCTGTGGATCATAAATGATGCCACAGCTCCTAGGCTATGATGAAAAATATAATAGTATGATAGATAAATATGATCAAATATGAACAGCATGGGAAGTAATAAGATGTCATGGTTGTCAGCAGGACAATTATATAAAAATACCATGCAGCAGAGTATTTATGTGTTTTGTGGTTGTGTATTCGAGCCTTCGTGGAACCAAGCTGCCAACTTCCTGGATCGAGAAGTTGCCGCTCAGAAAGCCGTATCCGAGCACGACGGATCAGCTCACCCACTCCAACCCTTGGCTGATGGTTGCCAGGTCCAAGAAGTGGGACCAGGTCTGGACAACCATCTGTATTGGTCGTACCCACAGTTACCATGTCCACCTTCAAAGCGGCCGCGTGCTCTGGCGCAGCCGCCTGTACCTCCGCTCGCTGCCACCGCCGTCAGCCTCCGGTCTCGGTCAGTCTCCAAGCTCGGACAACATTTAGGCTCTCTTTCAGGCTGCAGAGCGGACACCCAGCCCCTCGTCGGATTCTTCGATTACCGTCCGGCCGCATAGCTCCCACAGCAGAAAGCAATAATTGATCGTTTCTGTTTTCATCTTTATTCCGTTACATTTGTCTCTTTTAAAACGTTTCTTCAGAATTCCCTAACCCCATTGCAGCGTATTCCTTGCACTTAAAGATACCGCCATTCCGGCAACAGGCTCTCGGCTGCACCAAATAGATAACTTTACCAATATTTCTAGTTGCAGATTATAGTGCGTGTGGCTTAATTCATCCTGGCATAGGTGATTGGAGAGAGTATGACGAACTGTCTTGGTAAGATGCTTCGTTTCCCAGCCCAGTGACAAATATAGTCTCAACATCATTGAAGGATACGAAAATTCGTGTTGCGTGATAAAATGACATGAGATCTAGAACCGTTATTTCTCCTTTCTTGGATCTTCTAATTGGAACACAAGTGCTCATCCTTCGTACATTGCTTGCACACCTTCGAAGCTTTGTCTCCACTTGGTGTCCTATGTTTTCTTGGAGTTTGGGCAGGTCTTTGAATCCTTAGTGTCATTGATACCAGGCATTCTGTGACATGTGCACAATGTATGCTTATTTATGGCAGATATACATTTCAAATGGGCACCAAAATTTCCATGTTGGAAGTTGGATGTATAGACATCACTTTGGCATGAACAATTTTTTTCCAAAAATTATGCCTAAACCACCTTTTAGCTCGGCTCGGCTCACTTTACATTTTCTTGCAATCAGTTCAAACTTTTTGCTCGTGACTCAGTCCTAACTGGGGGATAACCCTTCACATCAGTGCATGTACATTGTGGGCATCAAAGAAAGGGCTTGGATCTCAGCTGTGAAGCGCAGCTGGAATCTTGAATATCAATTGAGTTCGCGAGACTGGTAGCGAACGGAAATGAGTCCGCTAGGCTACTGTTGAAATCATACTTCTCAGATTGCCTGCACTGTCACTGTATGATCACATTCCACCGCATGATCTTACCCTATGCTAGTGACCAACAACAGTGTGCTGCCTCTGCTCATGGGTGTAGTAGTTCACTCCAACCATATCGAGTGAATTATGTGGCGCATGCAACCACGCAATTTGGCGGTGCATTCACCCATACGAGTACAATTATGTGCACTGGTGTGTGTTTGACATACTGAAAGAGCTGCTGCTAAAATGTTGTGGCATAATACTTACGTAATTCACAAACCACACGTTGTTTAGCATATTGGACACGGGTTGAGCCTCCAGTGACATATGCATTTTGTAGGTTTTCACGTTCGCGTACATTTATCCAAGCTGGTACCATTTTCGAAGTAAGTAAACCAATTGTGCAATTATTCGAATTCGCAATTGGGCCAAGAACTGTGCCATTTACACTTCCACATAGAATATTTGCTTCTGAAAATGTGAATAGGTGCTGTGCCCTTTTTAGAATTACATCACCAGCACAATACCGATGGCCTACCAAACCCAGGCCCGTCTCTGCACACAAACATGGGCACATTGAAAAGAAAGAAAACACCGCCGAATACACATGACGGTGCATGCCCCCAGAAAATTCACACACACACACGAACACAAACACACACACACACACACACACACACACACACACACAAACACACACACACAAACAAACACACACACACACACACACACACACACACACAAGCAACATGAATAAGCAATAGGAATGTACATACATGCACATATGCAGTTGAGACTCCTGCTAAATGACTTTGGATATCAAAACATTATGTTATTATTAAAGACGTCTAACTCCCCTGGTGTCCGCAGCACGGGCTTGTGAACTAGAATCTGATGGTTTGGAGGTAACAATCTTGTGAATGGTCAACGGTCCTCAGCGTTTGCTCTGCACCTCCATGAGCGACAATGACTCTCACCGCTGTATGGAGTCCGAGAGGTGTTTTTCGCCCTTGAAACAGAGTGTCACTGTAACTTGGTATCCGTAATGATGTTCAGGCTCGGACAGCGCTACAGAATGCAGTTCTCTCGGAGCACAAAGTTCATAAGCCTACTCTAGCTCAACTGATGAGGGGTGAATTCCCCAAAAAACTGTGAATTGCACAGGGAGTGGTTCTTTCTTGCAGGTTTGCAGAGCGGGACGTTCCATGGATTTCTCGTGTGCTCTGGATGGCAGTTGTGAGTCGGTCAAGTGAGATTCAAGCTGGCAGAAAAAGCGCAAGCTCCCACGTATAGAGCGACACACAATCCCCAAGTGTAGCCGAAGTTGCACCAACCTCTTCTTCACGCTATTTCCAATAATATTAGCGAAGGAGCTTGGAAGTTCAGGGCCCTACGGTATAATTTTTCTCCTAGCTCATCATGCATGCTATTCGAACAGATGGAAACTATTGGTAAATACAATGACTCAAATCTTTGGACAGCACCTGCTCCAAGAGCAGTGAGCGTTGCACAAGGCGAGCGGCAAGGGTTCGCGCGAAGGTAAGAGTGCTCAACCTAACGACATTGCTGACTGCTAGGGAGGATGATACTCAAATCTGTGGACAGCAACTGTTTTGCTCTGTTAGAGCTCCTCAGCACAGCTCAGTGGACCGAAGCGCAGCTCTTCGCAATGAATAATTATGTTTCCGTGTACAATGATGTAGCCAATCAGTTCGTTGTGTTATGGTTGGGCATTTTCGCCATCATGGTCGACGTAAAACACAATTTACATACAGAAGCTCGGGGAGCAAAAGTCTCTCTCTCCCATAACCTGCCACATACCAACTAAATACAAAACATGCACTTCAAACGAGCTGACTTGCACGGGTGGCCCTTTTCACGAACCCATGCAAGGGGATTGGTCTATTATAACGCATGTACAAAGTCACTAGATTACACCCGCACCAGAGATGAAGGCGAGAGCTGTTGCCGAAGAACGGCAAACGGAAAAAGATGTTGGAAGCGAAAAGAAAGAGTGAGCGAAGCATAACTCATATTCAAACTGATTGAAACATTTGCAATACATTGATGTAGCCAATCAATGGGGGGGGGGGGACGCGGGGATACATACATGTATTCACTTTGTTGTAATTATGGAGCCTCAAAGTTCGGAAAAGTGGTGCCTTTCTCGTACTTGGCCATAAGTACAACAAAATACACGAGTATCACCATACCCAGGTGTCCATGCATGCTAGAGATAAACATGGAAAAGAGAAAACATTACTTAACCCACATGCATGCATGCATACACACAATAAATTTAAAACAAACAAAACATGAAAATGCACATTTATCCAGACACGCTCTCACGCACACACATGCGCATGTGCATGCCAAACGTACAAAACGTGGACACATGTACACCAAACAGATAGAATACAAGGTAGTGGGGTTTGCCAGATTTTTTTCTTTCAATTTTGTCTGATAAATATTTACGAGACTTTGCATCGAGCGACACCGTGGATAACATTGAGCCAAGAATTATGCAATCAACCAGAAGAGATATCTCTTCACAAGTAGGCAAATAAATGCGTAGGTGCCCGGCAACAGCAATCGGGCAAGTCACAGCAATGTACTTATTGCAACTTCAATGATACACATACACGGTGGACCACCCATGCCTCAAACCGGCGGGTCAACTACATGGTGGTCTGGCAACTTCAAACGGGGTAGAGGGGACGGCTCAATACCGGGACGCTTTGACAGCCAAATTTGTATAGACCCAAACCGATCATCAGCGTTGATTTTTCACTCGAAATATGTTTGTGGAAAAAAACTAGCATGTTGAAGTTTGCTCTGGGGCCAGAGTCAATCGAACTGAGCCACTCCTTTGTGTTGACCCATTGCCTCCAAGTTGCCCAATTTTTCATTTCAAAAAAGTTCAAATCAGAGGTGGCTCCAAACCGGACACGTTTTAGAGTGCACGTCAAATTCACTCTGGGTCTGAAATTAGGTAATTGCTAACGCTCCACGGCGGCCAGTACAGAGTAACAATGAGCCTTGTGTGTGCTTCCATTAGTTTTGATTGGTATGCAGTGCTTTATTGGCGAGAGGCGAGCCGCTGTTTACCTGCGACAAGAAGTTGATTTTTCGAAAGTCGTAAAACTCAAGTCGCAGTGCGAAGCAACACTTCAAAAACTCACCTGCTTGATATGGCGCTTCTGGTCACCGCAGAGCCATGAAATTTTGGCTCGGAGTATAACACATCGTAGTCTCACTGTGACATATGTTTTCTAATCAAAATACCAAGAGAGAAAGTGAATAATTATTGAGTCCGTTCCGGTTTGCAACCTGTGTCCTATTTGAATCCGTCCCCTCTACACCGATACAACAGACACAGTTGACCACCCAAGCCTCAAACCGGCGGGTCAACCACATGGTGGCCCGGCAACTTCAATCGGGAACACACCGATTCAACAGACACAGTTAGGAAAAGACCCAAGTGCCATCAGTATGTGTGGCACGTGTTGTGAGCTGCCTTTGGAGTGAAAAACCTGGCGGCGCCTTCTAGGTTCAGCCTGGTCCCATAGCTCAGTGGTTAGAGCATTGCTCATGACAAGCGGGGTCCCAGGTTCGAGTCCTGGTGGGTCTGGCGTTTTGTCTCTTTTCAGGCAGTTCACTTCCCGGACTGATCCTTTGAATTTGAAGTTCTCCCAATCCTTTCCAAATTTAATCACTTTCTTTCACCTCCCCTGGGGGAGGGAAAAGACCCAAGTGCCATCAGTATGTGTGGCACGTGTTGTGAGCTGCCTTTGGAGTGAAAAACTTGTCAGCGCCTTCTAGGTTCAGCCTGGTCCCATAGCTCAGTGGTTAGAGCATTGCTCATGACAAGCAGGGTCCCAGGTTCGAGTCCTGGTGGGTCTGGCGATTTTTTTCTCTTTTCAGGCAGTTCACTTCCCCGACTGATCCTTTGAACAATAATAATAGTACAAGTAATAATAATAACAATGTGGAAAGGAAAAGAACATATGGATACGAGTTAAGAGTAACTCCCCATCACTGTAACTGGATACTTTACACAGCCTTCAAACTTGGAAGGTTCAACTTCGAATTGTAGTTAGACCGCTTTGTCAAATATCGTACTGGTCTCGTCATCGTCCAGTAACAATCGACATTCTTTGTTTCGTTGGGACTATAGCTTTTACTCGTTTTCATTGCGCTTGCCTTCCCCTCTTTGGTATTTCCATAATCTTGAACCTTCCAAGTTTGAAGGCTGTCGGTTAGCGCTACGGAGATGTGTTGAAGCTAGGCGTCAGGACGTCGAATGTTTCAGTACTCTGTCAGTTTTGAGCCTAGTTCTTGCACTTTCTGACTGTATATAGTATCCAGTTACAGTGATGGAGAGTTACTCTTAACTCGTATCCATATGTCCTTTTCCTTTCCACATTTATTAATGGCTCAACATCTGAGTTTCAAATAATAATAATAATAATAATAATAATAATAATAATAATAATAATAATAATAATAATAATAATAATAATAATACTCTTTCAATACTCTTTCAATTTTAGCCCCTATCTCTCGCTCTCTCTCTCTCTCTCTCTCTCTCTCTCTCTCTCTCTCTCTCTCTCTCTCTCTCTCTCTCTCTCTCTTCACTGTGTGACCCATATTGTCTTTCCTAGTTCCCAAGTTTGTGTCCTAAGCGTATGCCACCTCGTCGACAATGGAGCGGTATTGATAACCAAGAAGCCCTGGAGTGCAACTTCAAAGCCATCTGGCCAGATAAGCTCGGATACAGGAAACGGCAGCTTGCTAATTAGACAGAGCGGCGACCAAACGATGCTATAACTGAGCAGTGTCTTGCTGGCCACATATCCCTTATCAGCTGAAAGTATCTCTCTCTGGTCAAACAAGAAGCCATTGCTCAGCAGCTCGTGGAGCGAGGGGAGCTTCCTAGCACGTTTCTAAAACGTTACCACGCAACGAATCACCAGGGAGAACCGGAGCCCTGCGGGTCCTGCGGGTCCAGCGGTGCTGGCGCTACTGGCGCTACGCGCACTGATGACGCCCAGGCGGATCCTCGAGCCGCTGACACTAGTGCTGGTGCTGGTGCTGGTGCTGGTGCTGGTGCTGGTGCTGGTGCTGGTGCTGTCAATGATGTACATGCACCTCTACCCAACTTGGACGGTGAGTCAACTGTCACTGGATCAACGTGTGAACACGTTCCTGCCTTGCATGCTGATGCACTTGGGGCTGCGGACGGTGGATCTGGTGGTGTGTCGTGCACTGCAGAGAGCCCTTGCATAGACTGCAGAGCACAGACTAATCGTAGCTTATCTGCTTGCCTAGCTAATGCATGTGGTGCTGGTATCATTGACTCTAATGACAAGCAGCTCGTGTGGGCGGTCAAGCATATCTGTGTATGTATCAAGGCTGCTGAGGTGGAAGACACTGGTAGGGTCCTTGGTGGGCTGGTAGCCAGTGTACAGCGTTTGGGTGTTGATGAGAGGCCAAAGCTTGCAGTCCCCCAGGAAAATCACATACCTCCGTCTTTCAGCTACTGTCGCAAAAATCAACTGTGGCATCCATCAGCTGGTTGCTGCTAGTGAGTTTGACCTGTCCATAGAGTTCTTGAATCATGTTGCGTATGCTGCTGCTGTTCTAACCCTACTGGTTTGTGGTATCCCGCCAGTTCAGGCAGCGCGCATGAGTTCGCCACAGCCGGAAGTTCCGGGTTGGCAAAACCGGTTACAGGGAAAGGTTGACGCCCTTCGGAAGGATGTCTCTAGACTGACAAGCTACCTGGCATCTGACAACCTGCAAATGTACCAGCGCTACCCTGTGTGAGCTCGGCACGCTGCTGATTCACTTCTAGGAACAAAGAATTTGGAACTTCTGGCCCTTGCGGGTCGAATGCGCAGATACAAAGCTGATATGAAACGTAAGCAGGAGAATCAGTTATTTCGCTACAATGAACGTCAATTCTATCGTAACCTGTGTGCCAAGAAGGATAGTGACCCCGAGAACCGTCCATGTATGGATCAATTGGAGCAGTTCTGGAGAGACATTTGGTCTCACCCTTACCCTGTGCGTCGTCAGGCCTGGATCCAGCGTGAAGGCACGTACGCAAAGGCCATCCATGCCCAGGAATCTGCTGTCATTACTGGTGACCTTATGTCTGCTGCGACCTCCAAGATGCCACACTGGCGTGCTCCTGGTTGTGACCAGATCCCGCCATTCTGGATTAAAAAATTTACTGCTCTCCATCCAGCTCTACTTCGAAATTTCCAGCTGCTTCTGGATGGTGAGCTGGATGCCCCAGCGTGGTTTTCACTGGGCCAGACGGTCATGATCCCAAAGAAAGGAGACCTAACCCAGCCGCAGAATTGGCGACCAATCACATGTCTGCCAGCCATGTACAAGCTATTCACTTCCGTCATTGGCGAGTTGATGTGGATCCATATCCAGGCCAATGACATTCTGGCCCATAAACAAACTGGCTGTACTCGTAACCGAGGAGGCTGCTCTGACCAGCTGCTGATCAATGCTATGATTACCCAGGCTGCTAGGCGTCATCACCGCACCTTAGCAATGGCTTGGTTGGATTTTAGGAAAGCGTTCGACAGCCTATCACAGGAGTGGCTAGTCGAAGTCACACGTCTGTACAAATTCCACCCCAAGATCACTTCACTCTTGTCTGTGCTCTCATCGCAGTGGCGTACCTGGCTGCGCTTGGGAGATGACATGAGTGAGGCAATACCGATCCGGCGAGGCATTTTCCAAGGTGACTCGTTATCCCCTCTGCTCTTCTGTCTCGGATTGAATCCAATATTAGGTGAACTTAGGTTGACCCGCCGGTTTGAGGCATGGGTTGTCAACTGTGTCTGTTGTATCGGTGTGTTCCCGTTTGAAGTTGCCGGGTCACCATGTGGTTGACCCGCCGGTTTGAGGCATGGGTGGTCAACCGTGTATGTGTATGATTGAAGTTGCAATACGTACATTGCTGTGACTCGCCCGATTGCTGTTGCCGGGCACCTACGCATTTATTTGCCTCCTTGTGAAGTAGGGAGGGCCCGAATATGCGTGCGCATATATGCTTGCGCATATTTTCGCATATTTGGTCCTTTTGACACAAGGTCGCATAAAGTAGCAAATCTAGCATATTGTACCAAATGTAGCATATTTTGCTACAAGGAGCGAAGAATTCGCATAATTATAGGGCAGATTGCGGGAATGGACAAGGAAACTTACCACGGCACGCTCGGTCAGGGAACACCACCAAACTTAGCCCGGAAGGAAAAATACTCATCCAAACACGGGGCGAAATTTTGACCCGAGAAGAGAGTGTCCGCGACTCAAGGTCGCATAAAGTAGCAAATCTAGCATAGTGTACGAAATGTAGCATATTTTGCTACAACTAATACAAGGAGCAAAGAATTCGCATAATTATCACTGATATCAGGTCATATTTCGAGCATATTTCAAGCATATTTCGAGCATATTTTTCTGCTTTTGTGTGATTTCGAAGCATATTTTGAAGCAAGTGGGCAATATGCGAAAAGCATAGTATGCGAAATTTTTGAGCATATTTGGGCCCTCCCTATTGTGAAGAGATATCTCTTCTGGTTTATTGAATAATTCTTGGCTCAATGTTATCCACGGTGTCGCTAAATGCAAAGTCTTGTAAATATTTATCAGACAAAATTGAAAAAATAAAAAAAAACTATGGCAAACCCCACTTCCTTGTATCTGCTTGGTGTACATGTGACCTCGTTTTGTACGTTTGGCACGCACATGCGTGTGTGTGTGTGCGTGAGAGCGTGTCTGGATAAATGTGCATATCGATGTTTTGATAATTGATTTTTGACATTTGAAATAATTATTTATGTTTTTAGAAGTTGCGACTTCGGCGATAATAGTCATGAAGTTGATTGTTCCAACTAGGAACACACGCTTCTTGCCGAACTTGACACTTGACTGACTCACGACTGCCATCCGGAGCACACGAGGAGCACGTCGCACCTTCCACTCGGCAAACCTGCAAGAAAGCACCACTCCCTGCTCAATACACGGTGTTTTGGGGAATTCACCCCTCATCAGTTGAGCTTGAGTAGGCTGAGGAAGATTATGCCTGAAAAGCACCACTTATATACTGCTCTCCAGGCCAAACCATCACCAGGGATGCAAACTCACAGAGACGCTTTGTTTCCAGCGCGACAAACACCTCGTGAAGCTCCAGGTAGCAGCGTGAGTCAGAGTCGCTCATGGAGTTGTGATAAACAGACGTTGAGAGCCAGTATAGCTATTCGCAACGCTGTCACCTCCAACAACTAGTCGCACGTCCGCCTGAGGGACAACAATACGAACTTAGAAGTTGCGACTTCGGCGGTAATAGTCATGAAGTTGATTGTTCCAACTAGGAACACACGCTTCTTGCCGAACTTGACACTTGACTGACTGACACTTGACTCGTGTGCTCCGGATGGCAGTCGTGAGTCAGTCAAGTGTCAAGTTCGGCAAGAAGCGTGTGTTCCTAGTTGGAACAATCAACTTCATATTGATGTTTTGTTTGTTTTAAGTTTTATTGTGTGTAGGCGTGCATGCATGTGGGTTAATTTCAATTTGGAGTGGAATAAAGAATCGTAATAAAAATAATTTGATAACCGCAATCAGTAATACAAGCTGGATCGACATTTGTGTACACTGTATTCATGTATTGTAAAACTGTGGAGACAATGTGCAATAAAACTATGAAAAATGTGAAGAAATTATGCAGAGAAAGAAAGGGATTCAAACAAGTTTTCGTACAACACTCATCAGGAATCTTCGTTGTACTAAAGGACACTGAAAACAAAATTGAACTATTATAGAAAATCTAAGTTAGGGAATTAATAACACTAAGAACAACAGCAGTGAAATTTACAAGTGTGAATTTGTGTGTACAGAAAGATAGTATAATTGGGTTGAAATTGTTCAAGTAAAGTGTCATGTTTGGTGCGGCCAAGCTTTGCCGTTAATGTTCTAGGTGTAATGTACTGCTGTTATTTGTTATCACTTTGTCCTTCCTTCTTTCTTTCTCTTCTTTGTTCACTTTTCTGTTGCAAGTTTAGTGTTAGTACACATATTCGTTATTGCTCTCGCTTTCATTGTTAAAATTCACACTTGTAAATTTCACTGCACTAAGAACAACAGCAGTGAAATTTACAAGTGTGAAATTCTGTGTACAGAAAGATAGTCTAATTGGGTTGAAATTGTTCAAGTAAAGTGTCATGTTTGGTGTGGCCAAGCTTGGCCGTTAATGTTCTAGGTGTAATGTACTGCTGTTCTTTGTTATCACTTTGTCCTTCCTTCTTTCTTTCTCTTCTTTGTTCACTTTTCTGTTGCAAGTTCAGTGTTAGTACACACATTCGTTATTGCTCTCGCTTTCATTGTTAAAATTCACACTTGTCTCCACAGTTTTACAATACATGAATACAGTGTACACAAATGTCGATCCAGCTTGTATTACTGATTGCGGTTATCAAATTGTTGTCTCCTCGCCGTTTGTTCAAATAATAATAATAATAATTAATCAAAGGATCAGTCGGGGAAGTGAACTGCCTGAAAAGAGAACAAAACGCCAGACCCACCAGGACCCCTCCCGTCCTGGTGGGTCTGGCGTTTTGTTCTCTTTTCAGGCAGTTCACTCCCCCGACTGATCCTTTGAATTTGAAGTTCTCCCAATCCTTTCCAAATAATTAATCAGTAAGAATATAAGCACAATAAGGCTGCTTCCACTTACTCTCACAAGTAGGAGTCGCACTTAGAAGTCCATTCGCCTCACAAATCGGGATTGCAGATTTTACAAGACCATCATTGCAGGAGTAGTTAAGTACTTCACCGTATTTTGTAAATGTTTTCGTACTGGATCCATGAACAATGTTCGGAACTTTACACATGATAGCTGCAAATTTACATACAGTTACAGGAATTGCAGGAAAGAAAACGTTAAAATAGTCAATGTCTGTAACGACCAAATATCACCAGATATGGCCAAATTTCATTCAATATTAACCTTTTAACCCAAGGCGGAACTCATGCACCGACTATGATAGTTTGGACCAGAAACCCCATGTAATTTAGATATTGAACAAAATCAAAAATAATCAATAAAACCCCGAACTGAAACAAATCCAAACAAGGTGTAAGAACAAGGGATTGCTGCTGCTCGCAACAACACAGTGCAGCCAAACCAACTACTGTATGTTTTCGCACACCGATCCAAGTTACATATCAATTCAGTCTTTTCTATGGCACTCATTGCGAAGGCCATCTTCAAGGGCCAGTAGCATCTAAGTTACATCCTGAAATTGGGAGTAGACCACCACCAAAGTGTGCTACAACATGTCCCCATGCGCCGACAAGTGGTCTTGAATAAATTTATCCACGAAAAATCACATGGGGAAATAATGAAGTTTGAACTCTCTACGGGCAATGCAATAATTATAATAATCCAACCTTGTGGCAAGAAAGTATACACTGAGTGCCTCCACACACCTTTTCAATACACTATCAGCACTGAAACATTATGGGAATTTTCTCTGCCCTCGCAGAAACTCAAATGAAGCCGCCAAGCTTCTGGTTACAGATGTTTATTCTTAAGAAATAAACCGTAACATCGAGACATAAACCCGCATCCGTGAGGTAAATTCTTGAAGCATTCGTCCAATTTGAGTGTCGGAGATCTTGCGCTCCTTTTAATGTTTGTTATTTGAGACTCAAGATCAGGAAAAAAGGTTACTAAATCCTTGCTCGTGAAACGTTGCAAGGATTTCGGAGATCCCGTCACGCGAAATTACGAATCTATGAGCGACATCCACAGAACCTGCTGGGAGAGTACAAGTGTGCTCGAGTCTCATCCCTGACACCTTTTTTTCCTCTTTTTTCATCTCCAGTATAGCAGCGTATTCCACTGCAAAGCCGCCCTCGATTGTTGTTTTCGTTGTTCAAACGAAGTGGACATTCAATCAAGAAGGCAGAGGACAGATGAACCTAATTGGAGTTTCTCATGGCATAGGACAGCCACACAAAGACGCTTTGCGATTTTCTGAATATAAAATACCGTACGCACGATGCAGAGTTCACTTTGTGCTCTATCAAAATTGTTTGCGAACTACCACATCAAGCAGAACGGGATCCAAACACAAGCTTACCGACGGTTAGGCTGCCGACCTGACTGGACAAATGATCCCTGGCTTCCGGCACCATACGCCAGAAGTCGGAAACCATGTCCTTTGCCGCGACGTCCATCTCCACTTGAAAAAAAACTCCATCTTCGTCTAAAAAGGCTTGAAATACAATATTCACCCGAGATTCGCGGTCTCACGCTTTCTAAGATAGAATCATTTTTTGTTGTAGCAGTTGCAGGGCAGATCCTGAAACCACTTCAACAGGGTTTCGCTTCACAGCATGCCTGGAACAAGCCATATCGAGGTTGCAAGCTACCCCTCTCAGCGAGAAATTCGAAATTTCAATGGTGGAAGGTATACTACGTATTTGAGTATTTGAAGATGTATGGTTTGCCGCGCGAACGTTCAACCGACATCATTCAAACTTTGCAGCATGGTTCTGACCTACATGCTAGGCATGGAACCACAGGGTTTGATGTCATAGCTGACACACAAAGTCAAACACACAGCACATCCGTATGCAGAGATACCAAATTAGTGGACGTTGTCATCTTCTTCCTGCTGGTCTCAAATGTACTATGACGTGCTATTTCGCCTGATGCATCATTGGTCCCTTAAGGTGATTATTAATTTTTAACTGTGCTTGGCTTTGATGCATTCAATCAGTGATTTGAGATGCTACTGGATGGGTTCGTGTGGTGTTGCCTGGAAAATCTGATTGTGGAAAGAAATGACTAAGGCACTGCACTGCAAACCTTTTATAATTGCTGTTTCTCCGGTCAGTCACTCAATCAGCCTACTACACATAGCCTGCATCATAGATATGCACCACCACACCTTCTTGCAATTCACCTACCCCGAATACAACCCATTCGCACGCTCAGGTTCCCCCGAACCTTTGAGCTACCCACAACACGTACAAACCGGCTAAGAGACTCCCCCATCTATGCTTCTCTTGATCTCTTTAATAGCATCCCACCCAGCATCCGGCAAATCAACCCCAGACGAGATTTCAAAGCAAACATCCTACCACTTGTCATCTCTTCCGTATGTACTTGCTCACATTGCTCAGCACATCTATAGCTCCATTGCGCCCAGCCTACGTGATTAACTCCCAATTAGTATTGCCCTCGCTACTGCCTCAGCAAGCAGCTAAACTTTGATCTCTCTGTATCTGATCCCCGTGCCTGTAATTATTTTTCTCTTATTGGCCACAGGCCATCGTGAGAATAAAAGAATTCAAACATGTATTTTGTTTTTATGAAAAGGCAAGTACATCGATTTTTCAAGTAGGGTCCAGAAGAATGACAATTTGATATCGGTTCGAATGGCATATCTCTCGTTTCCATACGATAAGCTTGTCACTTTTCCATGACATTATGCACTCTAAAGATGGGTTTGCGCAATGGGTCTATTAAAGGCCAAGTGTATCGATTTTTTATAGTAGGGTCCAGAAGAAAGACATTTTGAAATCAGTTCGGATGGCGTATCTGTTTTTTCCATACGATAAGCCAATCTTGCAAAATCGCCAATTGTAGGCTCACGTTGCCATAGTGACTAGCACAGTGATGACATACGATCGGATTAGCTCCGCCAGAGAGAAGGTCGATCACTGCAGAATTTGGCGGGGCTGTGTTCAATGCTGTTAGTACAGTGAACTGTTTGATATAGGCTATTCATTGCTGGAGTTCGGGTAGCGTGTCATGGCGGACAAGGGGTTCAACTTTCCGGACCTCCTGGCTCCCTACGATGCTTTTTTGAACATCCTACCATTTAACACAAAGGCTCACCAAATGCTGGCGCAAGATGTAATAGCAACCAAAACCATTGCTTCTGTCAGAATTCATGTCCAAAGGGCCATTAAGCAAGTGAAGGAGTTTTGTCTTCTAACTGGTGTGGTTGAAAACAATTTGTATGATCTGTTGGCACAAACCATCTTCACTGCCTGTATGCCCTGCATTTTTCAGCCAGCATTAGTTGCGCGTTGAAGCACACTTTCAAGCCGCAGCATGTTTTATTTATCAGCGTTGCAGTTCCTTGCTAGCACGCTGATAGACAGTGTCCCCATATGTTCTCGCACGCGGATATCACCTAATTTTATAGAGTTCAAAATATAGCTTTCTGCCGTGAAGGAGCTCAAATCTCCTTAGTTAATATTAACTCCATACTGAAGTGAAAGAAAAAGAGGGCAACTCTGCCGCTGCTACAGAAGCGAAAACAGCTCGTCGAAAAGACAAGAATTCCTCCTTGCTTTATTCTTCAAGCGGCCGAAGCTCAACACTTCAATCCAAGAAATTGTAACAACACTGTAGTGCCCACATTTCGGCAAGCGCCTGGCAGGCTGTGACCCCATGTCGTCATTGCGCGATGGGCTTATATAATATATTTGAAAAAAGAAGGACAAAATGTTACGAGTTATGACTAACTGTCCACCAACGTAACCAGATCTCATACAGTCAGCGAGTGCGTCGTAACATTTTGTCCTCCTTTTTCGCCATGGCATAATTTAATTGGCTCACTATCCTATTAAACCTTTTATAATTATTAGTAATTGCATGTTTTAGCGCTCCCTTTCAGTTTTTTTCCTTGCCATCGCACATGCTGACTGTCTATGCCCTTGTTAATTGGGTTGACAGTTAGTCATAAACGTAGTGAAGGTCCTGCAGCTTTTGAGTTAGTGATAACTAGTGGTATTCCTGCTGCGTTTATCCCAAACTTGAGTCATTTGCCAATAGAGAAATCAGAAATCAGAAATCACAATTGCACTCACGATCACACTGCATAGTAACGTTAATTGTGACTCCTCCTAATGGCTTCCCACAGATACAGGAGTACTGACTGCTTGCACGGTTGTATTTGCATATCGGATAAGTTATACATCCGACGCCACAAGCGACTGTCATATTACTGTTATTCTCATACATGCAAACTTGATCACCATTCGATTCACATGTCAGGATTTGCTGATCCATTCCTCCGCTCGATGAAGGTTGATGATTGCATAGTGTGCCTGCAACAAGAGAGTAAGAGGTTTTAGTATTTTGCGAGTAAATGATCATACTGTGTGTTCGCACCACCAAGAATGTAGACCTTGTTCGATAATGCCGGGAGAAAACTGGCACACAAGCTAAAAGTAGCAAACAAAATTCACTTTACAGTGAAGCCAACAGCAGGAAAGAAAGAGAAAAGAAGTACCATATTTCCCCGATTTTTAGTCGCACTTGATTACCCCCCCCCCCCCAATTCACGTTTGAGCCATATTATAGTAAAGAAAAGGACCTTGTAGCCTTGTTTTCCTGATATTATATTGACTTCAGTAGTAAGTTATGCTAGTAGTAGGTTTTAAAAAGCGTGAATGACTGCATCATGAGGCAAATGCAAAAGTAAAAGTGTGAATGACAGCAGTGGTGAAAGGTGACAGCCACTGGAGCCGGCTGTCTCTTACTTATTACGTGATGGCTGTGGATGGTTTGAAGTTCAGAAGGTAGTACCAATTATTGTGGCGACACTTTGACACAAGCTCACTCCTTTTGTTGAGAGATAGAGGTGCTTGGGTGCTTGCCCGATTGCCAATTTTTCCGCCAGGCACGGGTTGCACCTTTTGCTTTTGTTGCTGTACGCCGCTGCTGTGTGGTGTACCGCCCATTGAATGCTGCATGCCTTCCCTTCATCCGTCTTGGTCCAGACGTGCTGCGATAGGCGGGTGTCCTTCTTGTGTTGTCTGTGGCGGAATGAGGATTGGTGGTTATAGTAGAGTTGTTTGAATGTTGTTGCTGTTAATCCAGTATACTCCTTCTTCTCCATACCTGTGATGACTCTTGCCTTATACACGATGCTCTCCATTAGACACACTCCGTCCATTGGACATGAGTCTTTCGCCCGACAGTTACAAGTCCTGGTGTCGTTGTCACCTCCGTTAGCTTTTTTCTTGGGTCGTAGAATCGTGTTATTGTGTTGTTTGATGATAGTGGCCATATTCTGCATGCAACTGTAGCCAACCTTTACCGAGTTCCGGTTGGAGATTTTGTTTAGGCTTGAGCCTTTGGGGAAGTGTTTGGCCACTAGCTGGAGAAAGCGATGTCGACATCGGTGGCGATGTTCTTGCTAAATGGTGGGTTGAACCCAGTGTCTGCTCCAGCGCCGGGTGAGCTGGGTAATCCACCCGGTTGGGCAGCGCTTGGACCCGGTTGAAAATACAGTACCGGGTCACCTGTGACCCTGTAGGTACTTTACGCTTTCGAACCTGACTACATGGCTTGTATGTGTCAGATACGTCTTCTTCTTTCGTAATTTTCTAATTCCTGTCCTCTCTTTTCTAAGTGCGGCTTATCCATTCGCCTTTATATCATTGGGCCTAGTTCCCGTTTATTGTCCGAATTAAAATAAATCAACCAAGCAGTTAAATGTGACTCGGCTGGTGAGACAGCGCCAGGTACATGTGTACCCGGCTCCGACCCGGTTGAGATTTTTTTTAGCACAAACCAAAGATTTTTTATTTTATTGAAACAAAGAAAAATGGTGGCACCTATGTACAGGGGATGGCCCACGCCTGGTATAAAGTAAACGTAAAAGTAAAAGCCCAGTTGAAATGGTTGCGCCAGGTACACGTGTACCCGGTTGTCCTACAATCCTAGGGCAGACACTGGAACCATATGATATTCTAGGGCGATTCGTTTTATTCTTCTTTTTTGTCTCGTCCATTTTGCGCTCGTCAAAATACTGAACGTTCTCCTGGTATCCACTCTTCCTCAGCCCGTCACTGTCGGAGTCGCATCTCTGAAGACGTCCTCTTCATCGGAAATACCTGTTAGTCTTCTGCTGATCGATGCAGGTAGGTTCTGGATGATTGTAGGTGGATGATTTGACTGGCAGTTGATGTACACCGGTTTGTCGTTAGGTTTCCGGTAAGGGCAGTACTTTCCGGTGGTCAGGTCCAATGTCACGTCCAGAAAGTCGGCTCTCTTCAGGTTTGTCTGTATCGTTATCGTCAGTCCGAAAAAAAATCGACTGGATTCACGTACCGGGCAGGTCAAGAACAAGGAGTCATACAACTCCCTGGTCAAGAACCACCTTTCCGCTTCCGTGGGACGCCACCACCCCATGATCAGGGGGAGCTCTTCAGTCCGAGGTTCTTGAATATTTTGGTCATCTCCTTTCTTATTTGGTCAGCTTCATGTCCTGATGCATTCCTGAACACAGCCAGGCCGTCGTCACGATACAACCCGACGTCTCTGCCATCGAACACATCGGCTATCATGGCGAGGGCGAAGGCTCCCTCAAGCTTACACACCTCAGCCCCATCATAGCACCCCATTGTCACGTCAAAGTGCTCGTTGTGTCTCTTCACCCAGTGCCTCTCCAAGCCAAACAGCAGTGATCGCCTGGAGTGGAATATTATGTCACACTCCTCCTGGGAGATGTCCGTGTAGCGGCGGGCGAATTCGACGGATCTCTGGAGGAGGTCTTCGGAGATTGAGGGGTAGAAATCTACGATGTCAAAGTACACGCATATGCAGTTCTCTTTCTCTGGTATTATTGAGAACCACTCTATCACTGCTGCCGTGTTAAACCATGCATTAATCTGCAGCTGAGGGCGGAACTGTTTTAGAGTAGTATCGAGTATAGACTTGGAGACTATTCCGATTTCCCTCTTTGAGGGATTGATGAGCCGGCATGGCAGGGACCGGGAAAAGTTGTCCTTATGATCCTTCAGCGTGATGTATGCATCCATTATGTCGTCCAGCTCCAGCGTCGCAGCAATTGTCTGAGCTTCCGAGTTGATCTGGTCGTAAGTATGTGCCGGTGTAGGTTTGTAATGCTTGGTGATGTTGTTGCTCAGCAGTTTTGTGTACTGCTCTTTGTTGACTTCGTAGAGGTTTCTGGTCTTGTCAGCTGGCACGATGATGTCCGGTGATGCTCTGATTTTCTGGATGTCGCTTCGGAGTTGTTGTTGAAAGGGATCAGTGACTCTACGAAACTCAATCATCTCAATTATTGTTAACGCATCGTCCTTGAATGCCTTCAGTTCATCGACTTGGGGTGAGCATTTCCGGGACTTGAGGTCATAGGTTACTTTTGGATCGTCGGTTGTCGGTCCTTTTAAGCAGAAAAACGCATTCCACCGCATCTGCTTCAACACGCTTTCAACCTTCTCGATCAGCCTTGTAGTGTAGGTGTCTTCTGAAGTAATGGGAATGTTTTTCAGTGAGTAGTCCAGATGTAGCGGTCTTGGGTTGTCCATCCTCGAGTTTGAACTGCCAGGGAGAGTGCTCAACCCTGGGAACAGGGGAGCGACCTGTAAAACAGAAAGGTTCCAGGCTGTCCAAGACAGTGCTCAATACAAAGTGGTAGAGCTGGTTCAAACAATAGGAGGACAGAGAGAGTGTTTTTACTCCGAGTTTCACGCACTGGGAACAGGGGAGCGACCTGTAAAACAGAAAGGTTCCAGGCTGTCCAAGACAGTGCTCAATACCGAGTGGTAGAGCTGGTTCGAACAATAGGAGGACAGAGAAAGTGTTTTTACTCCGAGTTTCATGCACTAAGCGGTCATCAGAAACAGTAATGAGAAATCTGGATCAGTATTGGTTTATATACTCACAAAGCAAAGTGTAAATAGCTGCAGCATGGCGCAAATCTAAAAGTTGTGAATGGCGGCAGTGCAAAGCGTGAATGACTGCATCATGAGGCAAATCCAAAAGTGTCAGTGTGAATGACAGCAGTGGTGAAAGGTGACCACTGGAGCCGGTTGTCTCTTACTACTAGGCAGAAAGCTCATTGTGGCCATTAAAGAACTCCACAACCTGTTGATGAACGATTTTATCCAATACCTTGGAGGCAAGTGGCACCAGAGATACGGGACGGTAGTTTCTAGCTGACAGTTTGTCTCCAGATGTGAATAGAGGGCACGCATGTGCGTGATAGTACCCTGTAAGAAACACTGCTCAATTGTAAGTCGCACCCCATTTTTACCCTTGAAATACGGGACGGTAGTTTCTAGCTGACAGTTTGTCTCCAGATGTGAATAGAGGGCACGCATGTGCGTGATAGTACCCTGTAAGAAACACTGCTCAATTGTAAGTCGCACCCCATTTTTACCCTTGAATTTTAGTGCAAAAGGGTGCAAAGGTATGTGCTGGCAATGTAGGTGTGAAGTACTCAAGTAGTGGTGCATGACAAATGCAAATATTGCAGTGTGACCAGTGGATGGTAGCACACGGGGACAACATTATGTCATTTTCCAAGGCTTGCAACAGAGAATATAAGGCATTGACAACATGAACTGGGGTCCCGGGGCTTTTTGAGAATGCCAATATTCGTGTTTGCAAAAAGCTAAACCGATAATGTGGGTCAAGGGCACACCAACACAGAGATGCTCCACCAACATTTGAGTTCCACAGGGTTATAGCCTTTCCCCAGTTCTATTTATTGTGTACCATTTCTCCCTCAGAGGAGGAGAGCTCTACTAGAACAGTATGGCGCTACAACAAAGCCGATTGGTCGAGACTGAGGGCACACTTCAGATCTGTAGATTGGCTGCAAGTTACTGCTCCCCATACCAACTGCAACAAGGTCTGGGATGTCATCTCAGAGACAATTCTAGTGGGGATGCACCGATTTATTCCGTGAAAGCAATACACTACAAAACCCTCTGACCCTCCATGGTGGAACCCAGTGTGTCTGGACGCAGTAGTTCTCAAGGAACAGGCCTGGCGGCGCTGGAGGAGATTTCCATCTTCTGAGCCTCTGAAGCAGACATTTTTACAATCAGTCAACCATGCCTCAACTGTGATCGACAGGGCCCGCCTAGCTTGAGAACGGGGTGTCCAGGCTAAGCTCTGTGCGGGTAATCTGCGTGACAAACAGTGGTGGTCGGTGATGAAATCAGTCGCTGGTGTAAAGCGCTCCTCTGATATCCCAACCCTGATTGATGTACATGGGCAGGAATGCGCAACCAACCTGGCAAAGACAAACTGCTTTGGCTCATTCTTTTCCAAGAAATGCAGTCTTGCC